TCTGAGACCTATAATATATTGATGAAAAGAAGTGTAATTGGGGACCTTTTAATGTAGAATTTTATTTCTAGGCACTTTCAGAACTTTCTCCTCGATGTTGTCCTAAAAGTTGAGTTGATGTTATTTGACAGTTTGTCCTCACGTGTCCCTGCAGGTGTGATGAGAAGCTGGAGCTGCAGTGGTCTCTGGAGGGCCACCAGCTGGGCGTGGTGTCGGTGGACATCAGTCACAACGGAGCCATCGCCGCCTCCAGCTCCCTCGACGCTCACATCCGTCTCTGGGATCTGGAGTCCGGGAAACAGATCAAGTCCATGGACGCCGGACCTGGTGAGGCCTCAGAGGATCATGGATAATAATGTATTGGTTTAAATTGTATTCAGTAGGCCTCAACCTCAGATCTATATTTTACTTTAATTAAATATATATTCTTTTTTCCTGTATGATTGATCTTCAACAAGACTTTGAATAAGAACGTTTTTGCCATGGATTTTAATTTATCAGGTTAATTATCTAACTTTTGACAAATTAAAGTCGGCAAATACTTTTTGGCGTGTAAGATACTGGGTGTTTCTCAATGTCGAGGAAGGATGCTCCAGAGCCACTATTTCAAGGATGCTACGTCATTGAGTCCCGCCGAAGGACTGTTCCAATGTCCAGCATACTTTGAATTCTACCGAGGCCGGCGTCCTTCGTTGCGGGAAATTTGGAGTCTGCACATGTGTATCCTCCGCGGTCTTAAAATCCCCACAATGCTTTGCACACGGACCAATTTCCAAATCTTTGGCGGAAATCACGCTCCATTTAAGGCGGGGCCTCGCATATGCTGCACACCTGTTCCACCATTCTTCGTTTTCCGAGGTTAGGAAGGATTCTTGCCTCGCTTCTGAAGGACCTGACTCGGAGGGACTTGTCCTACCAAGGAAGCGTCCTCGACATTGAGAAACACTGTTTTTTAGAGTTTAAATGATTAGTTGAGGAACAGAAACATTGTTTCCAATTTTTTTAAATATAGATTCATTGTTTAAAGCCTGTTGTCAAGCAACATTCTTCAAACAGTTTATGAAACACTTGATGATTGTAGCTTATTTTTGCTATAATTAACTGTTTCTCGTGGTTTAATATCATAGTAAACTGAATATCTTTAGGTAATGGCCTTTTGTTCCGACCTTTCCGTTTAGAGAATAGTTCATTCTTCCATATTTCTTAAAAAATGTTCACCGTTTAATTTAAGTACCGTAATTGGTTACGAGACTTTCCAGTTTCCATTTTAGAGGTATAGATGATTCCCTTATTAGAACATTCCTAACGCCTGTGAATATCATGGCTCCTAAACTCACTTCTGAAATAAAGGTTTCTGATTGGACCTTGTGGATGTGCGGTTACCGGGCAGTATTAAGTGTTGAGTCACTGCTTTTGTCACTCGGTTAATTACCCAAACAGAAGTGCAGGTGACGTCAGCTCCTCTGTTCGGCTGTGAAGCTTAGCTAGCTTGTTTTTTTTCTTCCTCTCACCTCTCAGGAACCCCACTCCCAGAAAAATGTCTCTGTCGTTGTGTATCTTGAACCGAGCTGTACTTCATCTTATGACATGTCAACTCCCATTAGAGACACTCCATTTCACTCAGTGGTTGGTCCGGGTCACTGGATTAAATACCTTTCTTTTACTCTCTTGGGACAAAATGTATTTTGGTATATCTGAAGTAAATCCTTTGTTTTATATTTGTGGATTTACATAACAACATTTAGCTTATAAATAACAGTTTTGTCAAGATTTAGCAGAAATACTTAGTTGTCTTATTTCTACAGCAGGTTTACTCTGTCAGTCAGTTTGATGTGTTCAACGTTCCCTCTGTCTTCTCTTCTCTCTTTAGTTGACGCCTGGTCGGTCGCCTTCTCCCCAGACTCTAAATACATCGCCACAGGAAGCCACCACGGCAAGGTCAACATCTTCGGTGTGGAAAGTGGCAAGAAGGAGCATTCTCTGGACACTCGAGGGAAATTCATCCTGAGCATAGCTTACGTAAGGAATCATAAATCGTCCTCTGGCCGGCTGCATGGAGCCCTCTCTGTCTTTACAATCACTCATCTTGATTTGTGTTTTTCTAAGAAAAGGTGTCCTAGACCTAGCTATAGATCATACCCTAGTTACATTTGAAAGTAGTTGTTATGTTACAGGGTGTCCGCGGGGTCTTAAGAAGTATTAAAAGTTGATAAATCAATTTAGCAAAAATTAAGGCTATTAAAAAGTATTTTCCAAGGTGTTACATTTTGTAGCTTGTTTTTAATAAGTATATAAATTGTCCAAAGAGGTTGTGTTCTACAGTCTGCCTGAATGTAATCATTGCGTAGGTGTGTAGTGTGATTCTGTGTAGTTTATTTATGGCATGCCGTTGGATTTGACGTCATCTGAACAAGACATCGCACGCTCACTGCTTGATAGCGCGAAGGCCCGTTTACGCCGGTTGTTAAACAACATCGTTATGGGGAAATGCAAGTCTGCGTCCAAATGGTTGGAAGATAAGGAGGAAGGACAATCAATACTGTATATAGTGAATGTGAGGTAAAGTGTGTCGCCAAGGTAACCGGTTAAAACTCCAAGGGGCGATGAGGTCTTAAAATCAGAATCAGAATACCTTTATTAGTCCCACAGAGGGGAAATTTGCAGCGTTACAGCAGGAAAGAGCCACAGACAGCTGCATATCTCACATGCGCTAAAAAAGTACTAAGTTATAATATAATAAACAAACAATATGTATGTAATGTATGTATATGTAAAATGTATGGAAAGGCCAAGGTATTACCTTTGACTTCAGGATTCCTGCATATACCCTGTGTTAAATAAATGCAATGGTTCTCTATG